TCAAAGTAACTAATTATCCGAGGGATGCAAATCAAAACAACACTGCGTTACCATCTCACACCTGTCAGTATATATATCATCAACAAATCTACAAAAGACAAGTGCTGGCGAAGATGTGGAGAAAAATGAACCCTCATGCACTGCTGGTGTGAATGCAGACTGGTGCAGCCACTGTGGAGAACAATATGGAGTTCCCTCAAAAAACTGAAAATGGAACTCTCATTTGACCCAGTGATCCCATTTCTAGGAATATATCCTAAGGAACTGGAAACACCAATCAAAAAGGATATATGCACCCCTATGTTCATAGCAGCACAATTTACAATAGCTACGATTTGGAAACAGACTAGGTGCCCATCAGTAGATAACTGGATCAGAAAACCATGGTACATCTACACAATGGAATACTATGCTGCCAGATAAAAAAGGAATTCTTACCATTTGCAGCATCCTGGATGGAACTGGAGAACATTATGTTAAGTGAAATAAGCCAGTCAATGAAAAAAAAAATACCATATGAGCTCACACATTTATGGATAATAAAGAACATTATAAACTGATGAAAAATAATAGATACAGAGACAGTAAAGCATCAAACAGACATTCAAATTACAGTGGGAAGGTTAGGGAGAGGTGGCTAAGATAAGAGATCACCTGAAGGACATGTATGAATCCATATAAACATAACCAATGGTCGCAAAACACGGTGGGGGGGGTGAGGGCATGTATGGAACTGGGGTAAGGGGGCAATGGTAAGATATGTACACATATAATACCTTTATAAAAAAAGAAAAAGAAAGAAAAAAAGAAATGTTGAAGTGTATTCTTTAAGAAGAGGAAGAAGACAAAAATATGAATAATAAAATGGTAATAAATACATATACACTGAGTGGCCAGATTATTGTGATCTCTGAACGCATAATATTCTGACCACTCAGTGTGTGTGTGTGTGTGTGTGTGTGTGTGTATTGAAAGAGAGAGAGAGTGAGAGAGAGAGATGCCCGGTGTATGATTTCGTACATGGGTGCAGTCCAGCCAGCCTGGCCAGGCGGAGGGGACAGGGGCAATTGGCCAGCCTGGCCAGCCAACTGGTAAAACTCCTGGTCGAGGGGACCATTTGCAAATTAGCCTTTTATTATATAGAATATACACTGAGTGGCCAGATTATTATGAGTTCAGAGATCACAATAATCTGGTCACTCAGTGTATATCCACAATTGTATCTAAGAATCAAAATAAATATATATGGTATCTAAATGAACAAAATAAACTCTCCTAGCTGGGTTTGCTTAGTGGATAGAGTGTGAGTCTATGGACTGAAGGGTTCCAGGTTTAATTCCAGTCAAGGGCACATGCCTGGGTTACAGTCTCTGATTTTCTATCTCTCCTTTTCCCTTCCTTTCTGAATTCAATAAAAAAAAATATTTTTAAAAAATAAATGAATGACAACAAAAATAATAAAAATAAACTGATGGTAAAATAGAACCAGAGGCATGGAAACATGGAACATACTGATTAATCTCAGTGAAAAGGGGAAATGAGGGTATGGGAAGAGATTAACCAAGTCCTATTTAATAAAACCCTAACATGCAAATTGACTGAACAGCTGAACTACAGGTCGCTATGATGTGCACTGATCACCAGCGGGCAGATGCTCAACACAGGAGCTACCCCTGGTCGTCATTGCGCTACCATAAGGTGAGCACTGTTGCAGGTAGGTGGTAAGGATCAAGGAGACCTGGACTGTGAGAGCTCCAGATTGTGAGAGGAATATCTGACTTTGATAGGGCACAGGCTGGGCTGAGGGACACCCCCCCCCTCCCCTGAGTGCACAAATTTTGTACACTGGGACTCTAGTATTTTATATGCCTATTACCTGTGGACACAGACAATAGGATGAGGAAGGCCTGGGGTAGGGTAGAAACTGGATGGAGAGGGATAATGGTGGGGGTGAGGGGGCTGGCATCTTGTAATACTCTCAACAATAAACGTATTTTTTAAAGTGTTTGCAGGTTTGTAAAACACTTTCTCACCCAACTAAACACAGTTATGAACTAGATGGGGCTCATAGCTTGTTTGTCTGCCACCCACTCCGTTCATTACTGTTTTCCTGAGGTGAATGGTGTTCCAACTGAAGCAGTAGATTACATTGTTTGTTTTTCAAAAATAGCTACCAAATTTATTTGATGTTGTATACATACATATAAACCAGTTAATCCTTGCAGTTTTGATAAGGCTTTGACAATACCATGGAGAGGATATTGTGTAAAATGAAAAGAGGGTGAACACAGAACCCTTGGAAAACCTTATGATGTTACAAGAAGATAAGTGAAGGCTAATGAAACCTAATACAAAGTTATCTCTAAACTTCTTTCTCATAGTTTTGAAGATCAAATGGCACATGTGATGTGCTTAGAAGAGGAGGCAGTTGTAATTTTTCAAATTCTAGACTATTGCAACTAAGAAGTAACACAGCATCACTAGAAGATGGAGGGAAGTACCCTTAAGCCAAGAAAAGTACCGAAGTGCTATATATATTAGCTACCATGGAACCTCAGAACTGGTAGAACCAGAGTGACCAATTTTGCATAGGACTGAACAGTTTACAGAGTGCCTCCATATACTGACTCTTCTGTTTATTTCTCATACAGTTCTAACTTCAGGATAAAGAAACTCAATCTCAATAAATTTAATACTTCAGATTACATGGCCCATCAGCTGGTTGGAAATATAGTGTTCTTTCTACTCCAGCCCAAGAGCTTAGGAAACATTTTAGCATGATCATCTCACTTTAAAATACTTATTCAGGTGGGTAAGATTAACAGATCAAATACAGCCCATAAAATAGAATCCCACACCATAAAAGTCTATTTTTATAAACACATTTTAGATTACAATTATGTGCTCTGTGCTTGAAGTTTTATAGAAAGCATGTTTTAAAAATCCAATTTTGGGGGGAAATCCAAGATGGCTGAACAGGTAGACACCTAGCCGCAGCCGCACACAACAATATCAATTAGGTACAACTAAAATATAAAATGGACATTACCCAGAACTACAGGAAAGTCGACTGACTGTAAATTCTACAACAAGAAGCAAGGAGAAGGCCAGAAGGAAGAGCGGAGGAGCTGTAAAAGCCTAAGGTATAGAGACGCGCAGCGTGCGCAGAGAGGACGAAGCCAGAGAGGAAAGGCGGGGCGGCTGAGTGCCTGGCTGGCTTTCCCTAGCAGGAAGGAGGTAAAAGCTCCAATTGTGCTGGGCCTCAGTTCCTACTGCTCTGAACCCCAGTTCTAGGCCAGACCCTGGGACCCAGGCTCAAACAGAGGGAGTTGGGCTGTAAGGCAGAACCCCAGGGGAGCTGCAAAAGGAGGTCCCGGAGGCACGCACATTGCGCGCAGAGAAGGGAAGGTTGGCTGTGCCGCGGGATTGCCCTGGCGGGAAGGAGACAAAAGCTCCCCAGTGCTCTGAACTCCAACTCCACTTCCAGCTGAACTGAACCCCAGTTCTGGGCTCATTGGGGAAGAGCCTAGACTGTTTGGTAGGAGGCAAAAATCGAGGGCACCTTTCTTTCAGATGTGCTTGCAAGGAGTACTGAAGGACTCTGGGGATTACTGAGACTCAGGAACAGCATAGGGCGGGGCTGACAGAAGCCAAGGCTGTAGGCTCCACCCAGAAACCCCGCCCCATCAGGGAAGCTGCAAAAATGTCAAGACATGGAAATAGATCACAAATTAAAGAAATGGAGGAGAAAAAGCGACTGGATATAGAGTTCAAATCTATGCTTATAACGTTTTTCAAGAATTTCCTAGAAAAGATCGATAAGACCTATGAGGAAATGAAAAGGGATCAACTAGAATTAATAAGGAATCAACAAGAAATGATAAGGGATCAACAAGAAATAAAGAATACATTGTCTGGAATAAAAAATATTATACAGAGCCCTAAAAACTGAATGGAAGATCACAAGAATCAAGTCAAAGATTTGGAACATAAAGAGCCAGAATACACTCCTCTGCAGAAGCAAGAAGGCAAGAGAATCCAGAAAATTGAAGATAATGTAAGAAACCTCTGGGACAACTTCAGGCAAACCAACATCAGAATTATGGGGGTCCCAGAAGATGAGAGAGCAGGATATCGAAAACATACTGAAAGAAATGGTGACAGAAAACTTCCCCCACCTGGTGAAAGAATTAGACTTACAAGTCCAGGAAGCTCACAGAACTCCAAACAAAAAGATTCCAAAGAGGACCACACCAAGACACATCATAATTAAAATTCCAAGAGCAAAAGACAAAGAGAGAATAGTAAAAGCAGCAAGAGCAAAGCAGGTAGTTACCTATAAAGGAGCACCTATAAAGTTGTCAGCTGACTTCTCAACAGAAACCATGCAGGCCATACAGGAATGGCAAGAAATATTCAAAGTGATGAATAATAAGAACCTACAGCCACAGATAATCGATCCAGCAAAGCTATCACTCAGAATCGAAGGTCAGATAAAGAGCTTCACAAATAAAAAAAAGCTAAAGGAGTTCATCACTACCAAACCAGAATTATATGAATTGCTGAAGGGAGTTCTTTCAGAAGAGAAAATAAATAAAGATAAAAATTATGAACAACAAATACGTAACTATCAACAAGTGAATCTAAAAACCAAGGAAATTTTTTTAAAAGTCTGATGAACAATATTAACTGTTGAATATAATAGAATCAGAGGTATGGAAGGGGAGTGAACTGACGATTCATGGGGAAAAGGGGAGAGGGGGATGTGGAAAGAGACTGAACATAAACTGTGCACCTATGGATGAGGACAATGGGGGGGCAGGGAGAGGGCAGAGGATGGGGTGGGAACCTGGTGGAGGAGAGCAATGGGGGGTGGGAGAGGGAACATTTGTAATATGAACAATAAAAATTTATATTAAAAAAATCCAATTTTGACTAATTTAGGCTTTATTGCACTATTTAAAAACAAATGTTCAGATACCACTTATTTTGTTTTTCAGGAAAGACTCTGTTTGCCTCATCATATTTTGGAAGAAAGAGGTCTTGTGAAAGTTGGTGTCACAGTTCAGGCTCTTCTTGAATTACCTACAACCAAGGCATCTCAGCTTTCTATGGCTTAATATAACACCTAAAAATCATAAGTGTATAGTTTCATTTATTTGAAGTTATTTCAAATATCTCAAGTTCATGAAGTTTTAATCTAATTAAAGTAATTTTATTAGATCAAGCCATTTAAAAATTGTGTTAAACTAAAAATCAAATTGATGCTAAATTTAAAATATGATTTCAATTTAATAATTGCATTAGGTTTACTTTTGTAATGCAGCATACATATCAGTTAACATCTGGATAAGGTAATCTTTTTTTTCTTTTTTTTTTCTTTTTTACGGATTTAAGTAATTCTACATTTGAGTTATTTAATACGCTTCTAATTCTAGTTCATATACAATTTCTTTAATGTTTGGTCTTAGTTTTCTAGAAAAAATGAGTAGAGAACACAGAATTACAACTTTATATTAAATTCTTTTAGTATTATAGGTTGTTGCCAAAATATTTTCAGTTGTACTGTAGATTGTTTACATGTGAAGTGCCTGTGTAATTGATGACTCTTTTATAGTCTTAAACATTTTTGCAATTTCTTTTTATGTATTAATGGAATTAGTGAAACTTTAAAATATTTTAGTAGATTTTGTAGTGCCAGGAATATGTGAGGATTTAAATGTGCCTCACCTTGTGATATTTTTGATTTTTTTAATTTAGTCCGTTACAATTTTCCTTAAATTGGTTATTTCATGTTGTCAAAAAGCAATATTAATGTGCTTAATTTATGCTATTTAATTTTGCAAAACATAATCATCTTTTAAAATGTATTGTTTGAAGAGTATTTTATTTCTGTATTGAAAATGTTACACAAAGCAGTAAGCTTTTTGAGAACTAGCAAAGTACTAATTATCAAGTACATTTTTATAAAACTGCCAAAGTTTGGGTTTATATCTTGACTTTCAGGAATATTACATCAGTGTGCTGCTTTTACTTATATTCAGATTCAGAGAGCAACAATTGAGGAATATGTTTTTATTCAAAATCTGGCCATATGTGGATCCTCTAAATGTTATGATCCTCAACTAACATGATGTTGAATTAAACACAGACCATTCCATGAATATTTTCATAAGTATACTGTTACATAAAATCTTTGTTTAATTTTGAATTGGATAAATTTACGTTGGTAGTAGTGCAAGAATTTTTTTAAAAACATTACTGTGATGAATAACTTTCTTATAGAAGAACCTTAGTATTACTTTTGTAGTAGTCAAGCAAGTATCATATCTTAAATATGTGATTATTTGCACTTGTTACCTCCTAAAATGTATGCAACTTATTAAAAATGTTAGCCTGGGTGTTTCAAAGGGTATACAGAAAAGACAAAAACTATTGTGCCAAATGGTTTAATAAGGGCTGATTTAGAAACAACTCTTAATATTTTGAATCAGTTAGCATGAAGCCATATAATTAAAATTTAGCTTTAGAACATAGATGTGTGTGTTTTTTTTACATTCCCCAAGTGTCAAATTGAAGCTTTTAAAGAATTAAAAGTTCTTATAACTATATGGTTTAAAATTAAATTAGTTATTAATTTAAATATTTCAGTTGGATCTAAGAAAAAAAACAAAAACAAATAAACAACTTTCATTGACATAATCTCCCTAGTGAAAACTTGGGTAATAAAGGTAAAAAAATGACAAATGAATGCTTCAGTTGTTAGTTTTTATTGTATAAATTTGATAATGCTACGAATAAAATGATCATTAAAAGCTAAAGCAATCATACTGCTTTCATAGTTGTGCTATAAGATTCTTCCTATTAAGGAATCTAGATTTTGTTATATAAATATTTTTCTGTTTCATTGTCATTAAAATATTAGTGAAATTATAGGCCATGTCCTCATTGCATTTCACTTACTTATCAATTAATTTTTCCTTTAAAGAGAAACTACCCTGAAACTCCACAGTAGCATTTTTTACTACAAAGCAAAATTCTACATAGAATGGGTCCATCTGAAGTCCATTTCATGGAAGTTTATTTACTATAGTGCCAAAAGGCAGCACCACCTCTAAGGCAATTTCACAGCCTAGTACCCAAGGACATATTATATCAAGGCTCTGATGTATTTTTTTTAGTAACTTTTTAATAATTGCAAGTGTTATGGTTATTATATATTTACTTCATCAATTTTTAATTGAGAATGATTGTCATTATTTGAATTGGATATGTGATTTGAAGAGGGGTAAATAATCAAACTAAAATATTTTATTAGGCCCTAAAAATTCAGTACATAGATACTTCTGCTAAATTTTATTACTGTATGACACAAGAAAGAAGTGATGTTGGATAAATTAGAATTGAAATGAAGAGTGAAAATGTATAACCATTTGTTTAATAGTTATCTTTACAGAATACTAGTTTATTGACTTTTCTAATGGAATTTTTTGAAGAATTCAGAAATGTTTGTATTGGCCACTGATCTATCATGATTGATTTTTCTGATGCATTTAAAAGTAAATGGAACCCTAAATGTATAATACCGATGCAAACTGTGGATAAATAAAGTTGAATGGAAAAATTAATCTGAGATTTGTTTTAACTCTCTCTCTCTCTACCTCTTCTCTCAACATAAAAGCATCCAGTTTTGTAAGTATTTGATAGCATGTGTATGTGTTCACTATATGGAAAAATAGACTTCAATATGATATTCAAAGTAATTTGTTTTAGAGTCTAGATTAGTTTATATCATGTTATTTTTAGTAGGTAATGTTTTATTCAGAAAGTAATATTTCTCTAGGATATCTTTTAAAAATAATATCACCTTTACTTAAGATAGAATCTTTATATAACATAGTTTAAAATAGTTAAAAATAAAGGTAGGATATGTCAAATTGTGATTAATTGTATTGTAGATTTTAATATGAGGTATATAATTAAATTACCCTTAAGTTATTTGATTAAAAACGTAATCTTCCATTTTCAACTTCTAATTTTTAAGAAATCTGCATATTAAAATGATTTTTTATTTATAGTTATCTTAAAAGTAGAAAGTTATTTGGGTAAATATTATGAAAGATTAAAGATAATATTGCCTCTGTTTTATAGTTTTACTCTAAAATCTCAGGTTTAAAGTATCCTATATAATCCTATCTAATAAAGAGATAATATGTAAATTACCATCACTCCAACACACAAGATGGCTGCCCCCATGTGGATACAAGATGGCCACCACAAGATGGGCTGCAGAGGAGGGCAGTTGTGGGCAATCAGGCCAGCAGAGGAGGGCAGTTGGGAGGGACGAGGCCTGTAGAGGAAAGCATTTGGGAGGGACCAGACCTGCAGTGGAGGACAGTTTGGGGGGGACATGCCTGCAGGGGAGGGTAGTGGGAGTGGCCATGTCAGCAGGGAAGGGCAGTTGGGGGTGACCAGGTCAGCAAGGGAGGTCTCTGCTATCCTTCATTCAGACTCCTCTTCTCTTAGAGAATCTCAAATTCCTGAAGGCTCCCAGGTCCAGAGAGAGTGCCTTTCCTTTGCTCTTTGACTTTAAGCTGCCAGTCCAAAACAGCCAGAGTTGCAGTAACAGTGGCTTAGGTATTAGGCCCCTTGTCTTCCCGCCAGTCCCCTTTGTGGCAGAGCAGTGACCAGGCCTCTCCCAAGCGAGTGCACTGGAAGGGGATCTCAGGCCCTCCTCTTCCAGCAGCAACAGGTACTGAACCCTTTCAGTACATTTTCAAACGGAGCTTTCACTAGCACTGTCTGCTGCTTTTACAGATCCCAGGCTCACTGCTCTATTCCTAGGGCAACTGGAAGGCCAGTAGCAGTCACTGGCTTCTGGTTTAACTGCTGTAGCCAGCAAGCCAAAGGCCTAAGTCTTGTATTGCTTGTTGTAAAACACTCATTACTCACTGGGCAGTAGTGGGTAGCTCTAGTGTCTGCTGTCCCCCGCTTTTCTAGCTTCTGCGTCCTCCTTCAGGGCCACTATAAGCAGCTCAGGCATCCAGCCCCCCTTACTCCCTTCTTTCACCTGGCTCTCAGGGGGCTGAGTCTGCCTAGCACCCAGTTTTAAATCACCAGGGCGCCTGCGAACTTTAGCTCCATATTTCCTCCGCTTGGCTTCTGGGAGCCTAGTTGTGTGTGCGTGTATTTTTAGAAACCTCAATCCTTTAATGATTATTAAAAGTGAACAGTTAGCATTTTTAGATTAATTTTTATGAATAACTTTAAAATGTACTTTTTCAAGAAAATATAACTAGACCTTCAGTGATAAAACCAAGAATAGGTAAAAACATTTCTTTTTGAGAGACATAGATTTTTAAAACTTAAACTAGTCAGCCTTAAAGATATTATATCTTAAAGTTCCTTTGCTGAATATTCCACCACTGCCAAAGATGTAATAAAATGGGGCAGAGGAAGATCCACTGTGTTTTGCAAACAAACCTTGAGTCTAGGATAGTTCAGATAAGTAAGAAACCAAGGTTGCCAGCAGAGCGGGTTGTAACTTCTCTTCCTGCTCTCCCTAGCGACGCTTCTCTCCTCCACCCCTCCTTTTCTGCATTAACCATTTACTCTGTCCTTAGTAGAGGAAATAAATCAAGAGGTCTGAGATCCTGTATAACCAGGCTTTTTACATTTAAGGATACTTTTTTTTTTTCTGTAACCACTCTTTTCCCTCATAGATTTTTACTCTAAGCCCCTAGACTCCTAGAGGATCTTAAGTCCTCCTCCTTATTATTCTTGATTTCTCAGACCACCCAAAGGAGATAAGAAAGTCATAAATAAAAGTATTTGCTCTCTGAAAGGTCACAAATTTATACCTTCAAATTAACCCTAGGTCTTTAAAATTTCAATTTAATACAGCAAATTCACAAATTAGAGAAAACTGAAATCCTTACTTAAATAAACATAGACAGAAATGTTTATTAGCTAAGTGGGCTGATTCCCTCTCTGACTGAGAGCAAAAGACTCTGAGAAAAAGGCATCTCAGTAGCTGCCAAAGACTTTTGCATTCAATCATAGCAGGTCCAGCCTAGCTTTAAACAAATTAAACAATAGAAAGAGATAACAAATACTCTCA